AGATTTTTGAATCTAAGAGTTTATATCAATAAGGTATATTGATAGGGGGAGTTTGTTTAAACTTCGGGAGTTAAGTTTAATTCCGTCATCAAGAGTTTCTATCAATAAGGTATATTGATAGGGGGAGTTTGCCCGATCCCTTGGCGTCCCCCATAGGAGATGGCGATGTGACCACATGAACAAGTTGCAGCATCGATCTGCTACGGTGTCCCATCTTTACTTGCTAGCTGTAAGGCACGTAGAGCTGTGGGGTTTCAGAGCACTCAGAATCGTGTTAGGTTGCAAAGAGGTCTGGTTTTAGGTGAAGGTGAGTTGCATCAGTTGTGGAATGAAGGGAATGATGGACTGCATCATCTCCAAAAGGGTTTGGATCTGCTAAAATGACCTCAGGAAAGCTTCTGTTGACATTGTCATAGGTGGGGGCTCGCTCAATTGTGAGTAAAAAATTAAATAGCCAAAAAGTCGACGATATGGAGTGGCATTTGTTAGGTCTTGAAGCGGCAACAAAAGAGAATGCAGGTTGAGCTGATCTCAAACTTGTGAAGGTGGGGAAGTGGTTGGCCCCAAGACACTCCTGAACCTTCTTGGGAAGATTATAGCTCTGCATCATATCTCAGGCCCTCTTTTAGCACCCAAAATGTTCACCTCAATGTTTGATCACTCGACGTGTGGCGATGATGGAGCGACGCAACTAGGTTCGGTTCCAAGGTGAGAGTGGATCAATCAACCCGGGAAGTTAGGAGGTTGTAGCTGAGGACCTACCAAGAAGGATATGGATGTCGATCTGAATGCTGATGTGGTTTCTGTTACTCCCGAATGTCATGCAAGAAGATCGGGTTGGGGAAAGCCTGACTTGATCCCTCTGACACTCAAGTTAGAGAACCGTTTAGAGTAGAAGAATGTAGAATGCGGAAGAAAGAGAACAGAATGAGGGGCTATTTATACCAGGGGTCTGTAGTTGTCAGTGGTTAGGGCAGTTGCCAAGGGGTTATAACCGCCTTTCGAGAAGGTGGATGAGGTGGCCTAACTATTGCCTTGGTGGCAATGAAGTGGCGCAGCTGCTTGCTGAAATAGTGTATCTGCATGCCGAGGTGGTGTTCTTGTCTGCTGCGGTGGCATAACTGCCCATTTAGGTAGTTAGGTGTTGCAACTGTCTGTTGAGGTGGCAGCTTCAGTGGTTGGGAGAGGCCTGATTGCTGTTGAGGTAGCAGACCCTGTTGCTGCGGTACTTCTAGTTGTTGAGGAGTTGGTGTTCATGTGTAAGCTTTGAAATGTTACTTTTATCCTCAATCATTACTTGTTCTAGTTGTCCTAGTGGAGCTGGGCAATTTTGATATATGATACCATAAAATATAGTGTAACCATGTAGTTTCCGATTGATACGCACCATTTTGTTTTTTGTTAGAAAACATTTGGTTCATATCTTGGGTTGAACTATATGATGTGACAGGTGCCATCTGTATGGAACTTGTTAGGCAGCAGGCAGGTCTTCAGTTTCTGTCTCGTGCAATTAGCAGCCTGACAAAAGCTCAGAAGTGTTCGCCTATGTTCTTGCCCATTGTTTCACTGTTGTTGGCTCAAGCAGAAGCAAGCCTTGGAGCAAAAGCCAAGTGGGAGAAGAACCTTAGCCTTGAATGGTTTGCCTGGCCAGCAGGTTCTGAACAAAACTCTAGATGCAGAAATTGTTCCAGTCGTTTGCTTGTCTTTTGTTGACTTCATTTTTGTTGTCGCAGAAAGGAGGCCAGCTGAGTTGTATTTCCAAATGCACTTGCTTGCAAGTCAATCCAGTACAGTCTCCAACCAAGATTCTGGCGTAGGGTCGACTCAAAGCCCAGAGAGGTGGATACTACGAGCCATACATTTGAACCCCTCATGTTTGAGATACTGGAGAATACTTCACAAGTGTTACAGCTAGGTAATTGACTTGCTTATCCAGACATGTGCTTCGTGGTTGTATCAGCTGGCTTTAGCCTCGTTCATTTTAGTGGTTAATATTTCGAATCTGATGATCACTGTCCAACAAAATTCGTGTACTTCTTTTATGTGTAATCCGATGAGAATGTGTATTGCAAAGTGGCAAGCACTTGTTCTTGATCTCCTGCTCCGTGGGCAGCCTGCCAAGGCGTACTGGACCAAATCTCTTGCATGTTTTAGTTTATTGTCTCATGTTGGAGCTTGTGTTGAGAATTGGTTTACCCTATTTTTAATTTTTCTCAACAAATATGCCATCATTATTTATATTGGAATTGTTTATTATTTTTAGGCTGCTCTTTCCTATTTGTTGTGTTGCAGCCTTTAAACCTCGTATGGTAGAGAACTTGCAAGGGCTTTCCTGTGAAATCTTGGTTTTTGAACCACCAAGAAATTTCTACTCCTAAAATCCTATCTCAGAATTGCAGGATGTGAGGTCAAATCCTGCCAAATCCATCCGTTTAAGCCAAACATCCTAAAGGGTTTCATCCTGAGTCACATCGTTACGAAAGGCCATAATATTTTTGAAGTTTTATACTATTTGATCCATCTCCTTCATAGCTTTCTTAAAGTGTTTTGTTGGAACCTGGATGTCCACGAGGAATTTCTAAGAAATCCTAGGATCTCAAATACCTATGGTTTAACTAAGCTACTATTCGAGACCTGAGTCAAATTCAATAATAGCATAATAACTAGACTATAAAAATGACTTAGAAATATATAAATACTTATTTTTCTATTTTTAAGTTATTAAAATAAGTATTTTAAAATTTCGAATTTTAAATCGTTAAATTTATAATTTTTAAGTTTGATCAATTTAAGGTGAACACATAATTATTCTGAGTTAGAAAACACATAAATATTAGTATTCAATTTCTTATTTTGATCTAAAAGGATAGCTTGCAGGCGGACAGATATGTTCACTCATGCAGCTAAGAACGGCTAGTATATATATATATATATATATTTGATAAGTAAAAGTAAATTGATTTTGTGTAAAGTTTCTACAAATAGTTTTGTCTATACAAGTTATAGATGAAGCTAGGTAACTCGTAGAGTACTCATGCAGTAGTTATGACTACACATGCTGTAGACTATAACTCTTAACTGTGACCAACAAATAAAATTTAAAGTCCAGATATGCCAAGATTTCCTATGAGTATAGCTTTTGACATCATGCCCAAGATCTTTAGCTAATAGCAAAATTGAATTTGATAAAAATATATTTTTCTCTCTATGTAAGGTGCTCCATTTTGAGATCGTTCTCCATACATGATCTTGAGTCTCTAATAATCTTTGCAAGAGCTGAGCATTGTTTGTATGTTGACACTCAAAAATTTTGCTACATCTTTCCTTCCACATCCACCAAATAGCGCATCTGAATATAACCTTTGTCAATTGTGTAAGAGGCCCTTTTCTTGAAAAACATTGCATGAGGTCACCTAATTCTTGATGCAAGTTTGGTTGTGGCATTCTATTGAGTTCGAATCGCAGGAGAATCTCCTTCCATATCCATTTAGTATAGTCACAAGCAAAATAGATATGGTCAACAATTTCTTCTTGTTGCATGCAAAGGGAGCATCGGTTAACATGATGGATACCTCTTCTTTTCATATTATCTATTGTAGGTAGTTTATTCAGAAGGGCCTACCATGTACATAAGGAATGTCTTTGTGATCCCGGTCGATCCCATGTCCAACTGTTTGGGAGCAACTTGTTATTTCTTTGTCTAATTTGATTTCATGCAGATGTGACACTAAATTTACCATTGTCATGAAGCCAAATAATTACATCTGAAGGGTTGTTCCTGATTGGAATAGCTATGATAGTAGGCCAAAGTGATAACATTTCAGGAGAAATAGGAGTAGGGAGACACCAGGTACCATTAGCAATGAACTCGGAAACCTTCCAATCTTTAGGAGCCCCAAGGTCTTTTCATATTCTGTCACCATATAATTGAAATATACTTTTCCCATTCACCCAAGGATCGTACCACTTATTAGTATTAGTTCAAGAAGAGATTGCATAAGAAATGTGTCTGATTAGCCAATTTCTTGCCTTTAAAATTCCTTTCCAAACTACAGAGTGTATGTTCTTGTTGAAATTTCCCAAATCGATTCCTTTGAAAGATACCTAGCAGAAACCCATTGTGACCATAAGGAACATTTGTTTTGCAAAAGGTCCCACAATTGCTTTACCAAACATGCTTTATTCCAATCTCTAGTATTTCTCAAGTTCAGCCCCCCTTCATCTTTCGGTTTGTAGATGCTGTCCTAATTTACCATATGCATTGTCTTATCATTTGTGCCATTCCAGAAGAAGTTTATTAATAACCGTTCAATATCTTGGAGAAGTCCAATAGGCAGAAGAAATGCATTAGACCAATATATAGAGTAAGAGTACAACACCGAACGGATGAGTTCAAGTCGTCCTGCTTTTGAAAGAAGCCTATTTTTCCAGGAGGAAATTCTATTCTTTATTTTTTGCAAGATAGGCTGACAGTAGGTTTTGTGAATGCCAGTGGATATGAGTGGGAGACCAAGATATGTAACTGACAGATTTCCCTCACTAACCCGTAGGGTAAGTGCAATAACATTTTTGTCCTCAATGTAAGGGCTCATGTAGACTTTACTTTTCGCACGATTTAACTGAAGGCCAGAAACTATACCAAAATCATTCAGAATAGTAGCCAAGTTTCTTACTGAAGTTAAATCATTCTGAAGAAAGATAAGAAGATCATCTGCAAAGATCATATGTGATATATGAATAGGGCCAGCATGGGGTACCTTAATACTGCCATCAGAGACCGCATATTCCAACATATAGCTAAGTCCTTCCATTGCAATTATAAAGAGATATGGAGAGAGTGGATCGCCTTGTTGGATGCCCTTCTTGCTCCCAAAAAAACCAATAGGTGAGCCGTTGAAGAGTATTGAAAACTTTGGAGTTTCTAAGCAACATTGAATCCAATTAACCCATTGCTAAGGGAAGTTCATACCATGGAGCATCTTATAGATAAAGTTCCTATTAACCGAGTCAAAGGCTTTTCGTAGATAAGCTTTAAAACATATTTTTGTCCCTTTTGCTTTTTGAGTGCAGATCCTTGATCAAGTCATTAGC